ATATATATATATATATATATATATATATATATATATATATATATATATATATATATATACTATCCAAAGCAACATTAGCATTATGACTGTCAACAATGCTGTACTTTGACAGTCGTTGGCTGATAATATGATCTCTCTATTTCTAATTAAAAAACAAAACTTTTCAGCAATTATATAAATGAAGCTGAAAGTCTGAATGTGCGAATATAAAACAACAGTTTACCCAATGCTGAGTTATCTTAAATAGCGAACACAGCGCAAAAGCTGGCGCTCGTGTTTTTAAATCAGGCCTAGCTCATTGTTTACAGCACGCAAGGCTTTAATTATATTTGGTCTAAATTATTGAGTAATAAAATCGAGTATAGATTATACATATTTAATGTATATTTAAAGAACACAATAACTTAAACCGAAACATTTCTGTTTTAATAAAATTTGGATTTTTTTATTTAGCCGCTGAACGGTTCACCAAGCGCTCGGCTGCTGTGTCATTAGGCTGGAAACATTACTGTTAAATAAGTTATTTCCATATGCAAAACACTTAGAGTAACAGATAAATGTGCGCTTGCTTGCATGTTCAGGCTACACGTGAATGCGTGTATTCCAGTGCTTTACCTGCTGCCTCGGTGTCTGAAGACTCGCTGCTCGTGTTCTCTAAAGTTTCTCTGGTGCTGCTGGCGCTTCTCGGCAGATGGAAAGATGAGGCCATGTCCACATTCATTCCACCTTTAAAACAATCATGCGTGTTAGAAAAGCCTCTCCAGCGGTGCGACACGAGCAGTATGTCTGCTTTGCCACATCTAATGACTTTCTGGTGAATAACCGCGTGAAGCAGCCGCGATCTGGAGCAGTTGTGCTGGAAACACCGCAGCTCTGCTGTGCAGGAATGGACGAATGAAGAGCAGCAGCGAGCCGCAGAGACCCACCCATCCTCTCCAACCCGTGTCAGTCCCACCCACAGAGAAAAATCATTTTATATTCATACAAGCAGAGCTTTCCATCTAAACCCCCCAGCCCAGAGTCTGCCAATATCTCTGCGAGCTTTTAGACAAATAATAATAATAATCAAAAACATTTCCCAAATGCTCAAATACACACATCATGGACAGCCATAGCCCTGCAGTTAAGCTGGTGCGATACACAGTAAATGTATTCTCTAAAGTTTAAACAGTTTCATAAACATCATTCGTTCATTTACTCTTTTATTTATTATTTTTATTTATTTAAAGGCCTGTTACTTTATTATTTTATTTACTATATTGTGGTTATTGTGCTCGCGATAGACACTGTTTTCACATGCATGGCATTAAATAGCAGTCATGTAAATGTCGGCGCTCATCTGTTCATTGTTTTGTTTTATTTGACCGGGTCTGTGCATCGAGTTTTTGTTTAGTTTCCTATTTTTCTTCTTTAAAAAATTCATAATATGTGTTCGATAAATAAAATACACACCGAGGTTCAAGAACAGAGACAGACTTCTTAGCACTAATGTAGACTTATATAGTGTTAAATATTAAAATGATCGGCTTCCGCCGCCCAATGCACTTATATTTGGAAACATGAGGTGAAGTCGCCAGGAATGGGATATATAATATGGGCTTATTGTGACAGCTTCATTGTCAGTCAGAAAACATCTCGCTTTCCCGTCTGATTGTTCTCTGCGGGGTTTTCTGCCGTCGGTGGCGCCTGCTGGATGGGCAGAACACAACGCTGCAGGACGGGGAAGATCCGAGCATGGGTTCATCATGAAAATAACCTCAAGAGCCTTGTTCACCGCCGTTTCTGAACATACATGCTCTGCGGAGAATGCACTCAGTGTAAGAAACAGCCCGTATTTTCTGTAAATATTATATTGTATTATTTATGAAAACGGTCTGGCTTCTGTTCTCCTCCACTGGCATTTAGTTCAGCTCATGTTGATTTAGCGCTTTAACAATGTAGACTGTGTCAAAGCAGCTTAATATAGAAGTTCACTGAAACTGAGTCAGTGCAGGTTTTATTTATTAAAATAAATTATATTTTTATTAATAATATTTATTAATATTTTATTACTAATAAAATCTGCTGATAACATGCACGTTTTGTAAATGTATTTATTTTTGTTAGCCTAAGCATTACACAAATGTGGCATTTAATTACATTGTTTTTGGTCGTTTTATTGATATTCAAGTTATTCTGAATTAGACTACTCTGAATATCGCAATATTACAGTATTATATTGCGCGCACCAGTATTATTTAGTATTGTATATAAATTTTTATATTTACAAAATAATCGCTTTAAAAGCATCATAATTGACAAAGAGGTAAAGATTTTTTAGCTTGCAAT